CAAATTGTAAGCAAAATCTTAGGATCAGAGATTTAGAGATAGAAGAGACTTTATCCTTAAACTGGAGATAGTTTTGTGTTGCTTTTTCAATGAGTTCTCCATTTAGTCACTAACAAATGGGTGAATCATCCACAAATCTCTCAAGTGGAAGTGCTCTTCTGGTGGACAGATTTGAGAAAATGCTTCTAAATATTCAAAAATAGAATCAAGTCTGAAACTGAAAATGATAAAAATGAAGGGGAAAGGAGAGAAGGGAACAAAAATTTATTAAGTGCCTACTATGTTCCAGGCACTATGCTAAGTGCTTTATAGATATGATCTCATTTGATCCTCAAACAACCCTGAGAGGTAGGTGCTATTATGACTACTCATTTCACAGTTGAAGGAACTGAAACACATGAAGGGTGCAAAGTCAAACAGCTAGTAAGTAAGTGTCTGAGGCTGTATTTGGACTTAGATCTTTTTAACTGCATATGCAGGGCTCTATCCACTGTGCTACCTAACTTATTACTATAGCAACTAGCTGCCTAAGGGAAGGAAATATCTCAGCTATTTTCTTTTTTTTGGCCATCACCTCCCAATTTTAACATTTTCCTTAAAGATTTACCTCTTATGACCTGGCGACCCCAACAGGGGGGAATGGACTCAGCCCATGCAGTCAGAAATGTAGCTTTAAGGGGAACCTAGGATCCAAGTCATCATTGCCTACTTCTCCAGATGATGGAATCTGTGTCCTGGCTCTGGAACAATGCATTTAATCATACACACACACACACACACACACACACACACACACACACACACATGCACAAATACATTTTCTCAAGGAGATCCAGACCATCCTCAGCAAATTGTTGCATTGATCTTATAAGTCTTGCCTCAATTCCTCTTCTTTATTGCCTCTTCCCAAAGTTCTCACTTGTAATAGTAAGGATATCTAGACCAGTTTCAGTAGTGAAAACCCTGCTTCTCTTAACTTTTATTTATTGATTACAGGCAGCCTTAGCATGGGAAGAAAAGCTGATGCAGTCTTCGAGGCTATTGGCCAGAGTTATTCCCTTTCCCTGTCAGCTAGCTCTCATTAGCTACATTGCCTTTTCTATTTGCTGACATCATCAAAGTTATTATACAAATGAAAAATAGTAAGCACAGTGCCTTGGAGATAAAAATTTAATTGATTTATAAATGAGAATATACAGGAGAAGTGAGTTTTCTAACCCATACTTCCTTATGAAACTATCTGGCCAATTTGAATTTTTTGGATCCAAAAGGGTGATGGATGAATAGGAGAGTTCCCTGATCAACTCTTATGAATTTGCAGAGGTGAGCCTTTGTTTCAGACTTTTATTGTATCTCCATGTGATGGGTGTAAACATGCCCACTCAAACTGCTCTGGACTCAGTATAGTGGGAACAGCTATACCCTTTGTGCTAAGCATGCATAAGGGAGTTTGCATTCAAGGTTTTGCCCTTTTTGCCTAGGTCTGTGATATCCTGAGATAGCAACAAAACTAAGAGTAGCCCTGGATCCTGAGAATTCTCCTCCTTTCTCTTCCTTTTCCCTGGAAGCCATTGATTAATGCATTGGGACATTGCAAGGCATTCCATGCCTTGGAAGTTGCATGTGCTCTTATTCTGTGATAGCGTGTGCATCATACACCCATGTGGCCCCCAAAAGAAGTTCCTGGACTCAGCCCTGGGGAGGCATTGGTAGAAGCACACATACCCTTACCCACATGGACATGTATAAGAGAACCATATGGTCCAAGTTGTTCCAAGAGGATGCCTAACCTCTAGCTTTGCAGATAAAGGTTGAGAAGTCCTGAATTTGAGCCTTTTGAATAGAGGATGGGGTAGGTCCCGGGAAATATGAGCCCAAGTGTTACTTCAGTAGCATTTCCAAGTTTGGTAGATTAGGGATTAACCCTTTCAAAGAAAGAAGAGGACTTCTTGGGCAGCCTCTTGGGGTGAGGAGAGGATTGTACATGCGGCCCCCATAGCTAGTAGGAACAGCAAAAGACTTAATATGGGCGAAGAAAAGATTTAGACTTTGCCTCCCTATTACTGTGAGTATTTGGACAGTATGGATCTGTTGGGAAATATTTGTATTCCTAGCAACCCTAAATACAATTTCCTTCCTGGAGAATTCAGGAATGAATCATGCCCTCAGCTTGTGCAACATAAGGATGGATGCCTATGTGGGTCTTTGGGTGAAAATAGAACTCAGCAAAATGTTGGGAGATAGACCAGCTAACAACCTCAATTTCTTTTGTCTTCCAATGGAGTCTAAAATCTCAGGGTAGTACCATAAGGCAAGATGCTGGTATAGATCTCTGGGATGTAAGTGGGATTAACTGGAATGTTGGGAAATTGTTTGTTTAACAATGCCAAGAAAACTTCTCTTCCAACGGGAGTCCAAGCTTTCAGGGTAGTTTGATAAGGCTGAGTACTTTTATGGAGCACTAGGGAAAGGAGGAATTTGCTGATGAAGGAGTATTTTGTATTTCTAATCTATGAAGTACTTCGAATTTTTTTCATGTGTTTTCTGTTTTTTTTTTCCTATAGCATGAAATAAAGGCTATCTTATATATTTATTTTATTAATCATACATACATTTATTTTGTGTGTTTATAGAGGAGCTGGGTACTGTTTTACCTGCATCTGAGGAGAATCAGATGTGACCTATATCAATATCATTTCCCAGAGTAAACTCTGAACAAGGACATGGAAATTCAAAGAGAAATATGATTTTGGAGGCTATTCCCAGAATTGAATATAGTTCAAGTAAACCCAAAGACTTGGGTGGGGGAGGGGCTGTGATGGGTTACTCAAATATTTCAACTTTGATAACTCAAATAATTTTTTCAAAACTCTCATGTTGGATGGTCAATCCTATTTATAGAAAGGAACCTGAAGGTGCATCAAGTTTAATCTTCTCATTTGTGAATGAGGGAACTGAAGCTCAGAAAGGTTGAGTGATTTGCCCTGGGTCACATAGGTAATAGGATCTCACCCAGAACAGGCATTTCCACTCGAGATTTATGACTCTGAATTAAGAGGCCTTTTTCCTACAGTGTACCTACTACCTTTATACTTTGGTATGAAGTACCAGGTGGTATCTCTTCCCATGGAAGAAAGTTTTTGGCTCTTTCTCTTGAGGGGGAGGGCTGTGGGATGAAGTAATAACCTGTTATATTGGGGCATTGTAGTCCCCAGAAACCTCTGCTGAATAACATTGACATTGTAGGAATTGGTCTATTCTGCTATGGGAAAACAGTCTTTATTGTGCTATGGGAGATAACTTTCTGACTGCTAAATATTCATGAAGAAGGCAATTACATGTAAATGTTATTCCATTATGGAAACTTATTTGATTTTCATTCTTATACCTGGGCCATAGCCCATGTCCAGGAACCACAAGCTACCCCACCTACCTTAGATGTGTGGTAAGTCCCTACTCCCTCATGCCCAAGAACTACTTGAGAATTAGAGCATGGTTACACCAACTCCAATGAATGTGATTGTAACCTACCTTGTCAATAATAATAGCTAATATATAGAGAGAGTTTACTCTGTGCCAGGCACTTTATAATTATTGTCTCATTTGACACTCAAAATAACCCTGGTAGGTAGAAGCTGGTATTATCTCCATTTTTCCACTAGATGAAAGTGAGGCAAACAGTGGTTAAGTGACTTGTCCAAGGTCACACAGCTGCAAAGTGTCAAGGCTGGATTTGAACTCATGTCTTCCTGACTCCAGGCCTGAAGAGCTATCTAATGTACCACCTAGCTGTCCATCTCAAGAATTCCTTTTTTTCAGGTTCTAGATTCTAAGAAGGCCCTTTGGTAATGAAAGCTTTATGGACCAGCTTCCAACTAATGGATCCCTTTAGAACAGCATTTGGGAAATTTTGGCATAAATAAGGAAGCAGCATGGGAAGGTAGAATGAGCACTGGTCCTGGGATCCAGGGATGGGGGCTCAAATTCTGACTCTGACACTTATGGAATTGAGTAAATAATTTTACCTCTCTGGGCCTTTATTTATTTATCTGTAAATTGAGGGGGTTGGATTACATGGTCACTGGGGTCTTTTATTAACGCTAACATTCTAGGTAGAAAATTCTACCCCACTCCCTTTCTTTGAGAAGGCAGAATGCTGATATGCTCTCTGGGGTGTAAGTGGGATTGAGTGGGATGTTAGGAAACTGCTTGCCTAACAATGTCAATTATCCCTTCCATGAAGAGTCCAAGCCCTTCTAAAAAAAATGTAAAAAAGAAAAAGAAGAGGAAAAAAAATTCAACCAAACCTATCAGACACTGAAAAAAAAATCTATGTTTTATGCAATATTCCATGCCCACAGAGACTGACCCCTGTAAAGGGGAGGGGAGAAGTATTTTTGAGGCCATGGTTATTCTATATAGTTTTGCTGTATTCAGTGTCTATTGGGGCTGCTGTTTCCATGTACATTGTAGTAGTCATGAATTCTTGGTTCTACTTACTTCACTTTGCATCACTTTACAGAAGTCTTTCTATGCTTCTCTATATTACTCATGCTTGTCATTTCTTGTGGCAAAATTGTATTCCACCCTATGCATGTACCACAATTTATTTAGCCATTTGCCAATGTTTCCAGTTCACAAAGGACGTGAAATACCTACAAGGTAAAGTTTTTGGGGCAGCTGGGTGGTGCAGCGGATAGAGCACTGGCCCTGGAGTCAGGAGGTCCTCAGTTCAAAGACCAGACATTTGACATTTACTAGCTGTGTGACCCTGGCCAAGTCACTTAACCCCAATGGCCTTGCCCAGAAAAGGATGAAGCTCTTTTGACATCCTTTTGCATTGTTTATAGCTACTGAAAAAAAAACATCAATGGCTCCTGCAAAGCCCAAGGTTGGCTCTTCCAACAAGATTTACATCTATAAACTGTTTGCATTTAATAGACTATAAGCTCTTTGATAGCAGGGATACTTCATTTTTTGTCTTTTTGTCTTATCACTAGTGCCAAACAGTACCTGACCCATAGTGGACGTTTAATGAATATTGGATTGAATGCCTGTTATAAGCAAAGTACCACTCACCTGCCAAGGGATATGATAAGGTAAAAAGGAGATGGTTCTTGCCCTCACAGAACTTATTATATATTACTTTTCAATCTGATATTATAAGGGATGATGAAACATCAGTTCAGTTCTGGCTCATGTCCTAGGGATGAAAGTCCAACTTAGGTAAGTACAAGAAAATCCACTTCAAGCCAGAATAACCCGGTTGAATTGAATCTAGGCCTAGGTCACATAGATGGCATTTTGGAGAATACCAAGTTTGTGGGTCAGACTGAGGCTGGCAGGCACACGTTCTCAAGGGTAGTCTTTCAGTAACATTTTCTATTTGAGGCAGGTAGTCTTACATAAGAAGGCAGTTTTATATAGAAAGAGCACTGATTTTGGCATCTGAAGACCTGGGTTTGAATCTTTCTCTGTTACTTCCTATCTGTAGGATCTTGAGTGAATCATCTCACTTCCCTGGGTCTCAGTTTCCCCATCTGTAACATGAAAGGGTTGGACTACAGCATTTCTATGATACCTTTAAGCTCTAAAGTCCAAGATCTTGCATGCAGAATCTGTACCTCTGAACCTCATCTGCCAATGAAAAATTTTCCAAACAGTAGGGCATGCTGCCATAGGGTAGGGCACAAAATTCTCTTAGAGGGCTCAAAGCTATGGGAAATTATTGAATTTTTTGGTACAACTCTTGCTCAAATCGACAACATTAGTTGCTAATCAATAAACATTTATCGAGGTTCTATTGAGTGCTAGGAATTGTACTAGGCACTAAAGTTAAAAAAAAATCTGAAATATTTCCTGCCCTTAAGGAGCTTACCTTCTATATTTGTGGAAGATAACATATACATGTGTAAGCGTTCAATATGTAAGTGAATAAAGTGCAATAATAATTAAATAAGATGTGAAAACAAGGTCAAATATGAGTAGGTACATGCCATTTTGCAATAAGGGCACATCACTGCCACCTTTAATCAACATAGGCTCATGATACCAAAGATTAGTTTAAAATGAGCCTCTTTGGGGGCAGCTAGGTGTTGCAGTGGATGGAGCACCAGCCCTGGAGGCAGGAGGACCTAAGTTCAAATCCGGCCAGACATATGACAGTCACTAGCTGTGTGACTGTGGGCAAGTCACTTAACCTCAATTGCCTCACAAAAAAAAATGAAAAAAAAAAGTATCTGGACATGTTATATACCTCACAGAATAACTTGATTGTATCAAGAATTATGAATGAAAAACTGAGATTTTTTAATATTACCATAGTTAAGTAAGTTTTTATTGATCTATTTTATATGTTACTATAGTTTTACATTATCATAGATTTTTATATTAAAATATTCATATTTTATTGTATTACTTATTTTAATTAATTACTTATTAATAATAATAATATTATATTACTATAGTTTCTTTTACATTACCATCCCCTCATATCTCTCCCTTTCTCTCAGAGAGCCATGCCATATAATAAATAATATTTTAAAAGACAAAAATAGAAGAAAAAAAATCAGTATAACTAATCAATACATCATAAAAATCTGAAAATATGTGAGCTTCCCATCTCAGCAAAGGGGTGGAGTGGGAACATTTTCTCATCTCCTTTCAAGTCATACTGGTTCTTTAAAATTTTGCAAAATTCACTTTTAATTTTGATGTGTGTGTGTGTGTGTGTGTGTGTGTGTGTGTGTGTGTGGTTACTCTCTATTTACATTGTTGTAGTCATTGTATATATTGGCTTTTTGGTTCTGCTTACTTCACTCTGCATCAGTTCATGTAGACATAATTCTTTTAAAACTACTAATAAAATTAATGTTTTTCTTTATAATTATTATCTCCCGCTCCACCCCTTTGCTGAGATGGGAAGCTCACATATTTTCAGATTTTTATGATGTATTGATTAGTTATACTGATTTTTTTCTTCTATAATAATTGTAGAAGGAAATCTCATTTCACATAAATAAAATGTCATACAATTTTAGTAAAATTTTTATCACTTCAATAAATGAGGGGATGGAGCCTAGACCTGTCATTTCACTCATATAGAGAAAATACTTTGATAAAACATATTAAAAATTATGAATATTAGTGTGATATGTTTCAAGAAACTGTGCTGAAAGACAAGCCCACTCATTATATTATTAATACACAATTATATACTTACATAATTAATTAATACATCAGTACATAATTAATATAATTATGTTCATATTCTATACCCTATAGATATGAACATTTTAAAAGATTTTCATCAATAAATATCTGGGCATATTATATATTTTATTATATATTAAAATTCTAATGTTGTTATGCAATTATAAAAAATTCTTAATTTTATTTGAATAAAACGTGAGCTAGAAAAAATATTTTCATGATTGTTTTATGAAAAAGGTAGTGGGAGCTGCTAAGATTTTTTCTTTTTAAAGCAAGACATTGATACATAAAGTTTAGAAAACACCGAGCTAATGGTTGACTTTCTGTGAGCAGACAGTTATGAATCATGTGAGTTTTACTCACAATGGAAGTCTTTGGCCTGAACTTTCATTCTTTGTTTTTTTATACGTCATATTAAAAACAAAACCAGTATTCCCGTAAGATTTGGGAAGGAGTTACCATGGTGACATGAGGAATTTCTCCTTTCTCCTTTGTAATGTATATAGATGTAACCCAGGTCAGAGAATTACAGATCCAGAACTAGAGGGTCTTTTAATTCTAAATCAGAGAATCATAGGATAATGCGAGCATAGACTGAGAGCAGGAAGGGACCTCAGCGGTCATCACATCCAACCCCCTCATCTCAAAGAGGAAAAAATTGGTCCTCAGAAAGGTGAAGTGATTTTCTCAGGGACATACAGTTGGCAAGTTTCTAGGGCAAGATTAGGATAGGGCACTAGGAAGAGCTGAGTTGAAATCCAGCCTCAGATGCTTACTAGCTATGTGACCCTAAGCAAGTCATTTGATTTCTGTCTGCCTCAATTTACTCTACCATAAAATGGGGATAATAATAGCACCTACCTTCAGGAGTTATAATGAGGATTAAATGAGATAATATTTGTAAAGTGGTGCCTGGCAAATAGTACGTGCTTAATAAATGCCCCCTGCCTTTCTATTGCACTGTATAGAAGTGAGTTTCAGTGTAATCAGATTTTTCTGGAGTTGGATACTTAAAAAAGAACTCTTGTGTTTGGAAATCCATGGCCATTTGCAATAATGGGAAATGAATGTGAAACTTCTCCATGGGACCCAGGTGTCATACCTCATGGTCTCTAAGCCCTCGTGAATGGGCATTCTGGTCTCAAGTCTAGAAACAGCATCCCCCTAGTATAAGGCGGTCTGTGGGCCTGGCCACAATACCCAAAGCTACGTGTGGTTGCTCTTCGTGAAATCTTCCTCTGGGTTTTAGTTGGCATAGTATCCAAGGAAACCCATGATACCATGGAGGAAGTTGCGTGTTATTTTTTCGTGGTTAGCGTTTGCAGAGTGGGTCGCTTTTTTTCAGTTTTCCTTGAGGGGATGAAAGCTCTGCTTAGTGTCCTGTAATTATGAGATTTTGCCCATTTTGCCTTGGGGAGGTGGACTCACACTCTGGGCTATGAGGAACGTATGAGACATTTGGAAGCAATAAATCAGTAAGTATTTATTAAGCACATGCTGTTTGTTATGTGCCGATCGCTGTGCTAAGGAAGCTTTAGGGGTATGGAGACAAAAAAATGAAACCATTCCTGTCTAAAAGCTACTTCCATTCTATCCAATAGTTATGGCAGAGGATGTATGCCTGCTCCATGAAACATGCATGGGGAGGGGAATATGGAGTAGTATACTGGGGCGGCTCAAACCAGCTAGAGAGTCCAATTGTTAAATTTTCAGTGTAAACATTTACGTGTTGGAAATCTGCAAATGCAAGCAAATCAGGGATTGATTTAGTATTTCGTTGATTGCCTAGAATCTGGGTGTGGGGAACCTGGGGCCTCAAGGCCACATGTGGCGCTCTAGGTCCTCAAGTGCGGCCCTTTGACTGAATCCAGACTTCGCAGAACAAATCCCCTTAATAAAAGGATTTTGTTCTGTAAAACTTGGAATTGATCAAAAGCCTGCACCCAAGGACCTAGAAGGCCACCTGTGGCCTCGAGGCTGCAGGTTCCCCACCCCGGTCTACACCTAAGAAAGCAATGGATAAAGTGTTAATAACGCGGATTAAATTTACCAGTGTATTCTCATGTCTGTATTTGTTTTCTCAGAGAGCCACTTGTTAAACACATACCAGTATCCCACTTCATAGAGGCACCATCCCAGGGAAGCTCTGATCTTAAGGCTTTTTCTAAAACATCAACATAGTTAGAGAGTTGGCTGAAAGAAACACCCATGGAAAAGAAAAATTAAAAAAAGAGCAGTTTGTGGAATAGACTGAGTAAAAATGACAAGAAAGGAGTGAGAATCACACTGAGATAGATGTTGGCTCACAACAACACACACCTAGAGTTGGCTGACAATGGAATGGGCTGTTTAGGAAGGCAGAATTTCTTGGGACAAGATGGGTGTTGTAGAAAAGACTCAAGTCAGGGACAGGATTGAACTAAATAATCTTGAATGTTCTTTCTAGTTTTAAGAGCCCATGGAAAAACATGATTTTTATATTATCTTGAATCTTAAAAAAAATTAAGCATTTATTAAGTGCTTACTATGTGTTAGGCACCTTGGTGGTACAGTGAATAAGAGCACTGGGCCTGGAGTCAGGAAGATCTGAGTTCAAATCCGGTCTTGGACAATTACTAACTCTGTGACCCTGGGCAAGTTCATTTAACCCTGAGTACCTCAGTTTCCTCATCTGTACAATAAGCTGGAGAAGCAAATGGCAGACCATTCTAGCATCTTGGCCAAGGAAACCCCAAATGGGGTCACAAAAAGTCGGAGCAATTTTGAAACAACTTAACAACAAATGTGTTAGGCAATATACTAAGTGCTAGAGATACAAAGAAAGAAGAAAACAAAAACCCCCTCCCTCAAACCAAACCAAACTAAAACAAAACAGAAACACCTAATCCCTGGCCTCAAGGAGCTCCCACACAGTCTGATGGGGGAAACCACATGCAAACAACTATGTATAAACAAGTTATTATTTAGGAAGAAATTGGAGAGAATGAGCAGAGGTAGAGCACAAGTTTTGGGGGCCCCAAAGGGCCTTGGGAAAGGCTTCTTATAGAAAGTGAGATTTTAGCTGGAGATTGAAGGAAGCTTGGGGAGGTGAGTAGGCAGAGATGAGGAGGTAGAGCATTCCAGATGTGGAGAACAGCCAGAGAAAATGCCCGAAGACAGGAAATGATGTGTCTTGTGTGATAGTCATTGGATCATATATTCAAGGGATTTAGATCTGGAAGAAATCCCATAAACATCTATTAAGTACCTATTATGTGCCCAGCTTTGAGGTAGGCACTTTGGAAAAACAAAGCCAAAAATCAAGTCATTCCAGCCTGCAAGCTGTTTAGACTCAGCTAAGAGAAAGGAGGTAAACACAGCATTTACACAAGTAAATAAATACAGAGGAATCTCAAGAGAGAGAAAGTGCTAATAGCCAGTAGGAAAATCACAAAAGGCTTCATAGGAGCTGGTACCTGAGCTGGACTTCATGGGACTTTATATTCTGTGAGGGGAGGAAGGAGTACATTCTAGGCATGAAGGGCCACTTTTGCAAAGGGAAGGAGACAGTATGTAATGTGTGAGGAGAACTGAACAGGTCTGTTTCAATAGGCTGGAGAGTGCATGGGACGAAGTACTATGAAATCACATTGGAAAGGTAGGTATGAGCCAGATTCTGGAGGGCTTTAAATGTCAGGCTGAGGATTTTATATTGTCTCCTAGAGGCAATAAGAAACTATTTGAATTATTTGAAAAGAGGGATAAAATGGTGAGATCTGTGTTTTAGGAGCAATAATTTGGCACCTCTGTGGAAGATGAGTATTAGAAATTATCTGGTCCAACCCCTTTATTTTCCAGATGAGGAAATTGAGGCCCAGATAGGGGTAAGTGACTTGTAGTCATTAGCAGAGCTGGAATTTGAACCTATCTACCCTGACTTCAAATCCAGTGTCATTTCTACTACACTCTTTACAAGTCACTGAAGTAAAGAAAAATTAGAAAAAAAAATTGAGATCATATTTAAGAAATGATTATTTCTCCCACTACTTTTTAAAAAATATTTTCATCTTCAACACCATATTAACCACAGATTAAATAGTGGATATCCCTATGCCTCTTCTCTTAGAGGGCATTAGAATATTTTGGTTCCTACTTTCCCAAGTTTGTTGTGTAGATCAGATGAAATAAAATGCTAAGGGTTTTGTTAGCTATTATTACCATTTGAAAAATATCTGTGATTCCATCCACATGGATGCTCCCTCCACCGAAGCAAATTGCAAACTCTCTAGACTTTCTCATCCTATGTGATTCTTATCCCTGTTTTTCTAGGTCTCCTGGATAACCAAGTGGGTACTTGTTAGAGAAAAAGATCGACAGGGAGAGGAACATGCAGAGACAAAGGCACATTCCAACTACTCCAAGATACCCAGGGGACGAGAAAGCAGAAACCAAAACCAAAATAAAAGAAACAAGGTCCTCAGACATATCCTCCTTTTGGCAGAAACCGAGAAAGGGAATCATGAAACAGTGGAAACTCTGAGGGTTTAACTGTAGTATGACACAATGCTGCAATCTTTCTGATATTTAAAGCTGAAAAGAAACAACACATTCAGTTTTTTCTTATAAGCCATTTTCCAAGGCCTGTTGTAAAAAGGTCGATGCCTCTTGGTGATTGTTAAAAGGAACATAGAGACTGTTTTTCTTGAAAATGGGTTGGCAAAGAAGCCCATAACCTCCTGGAATTTTCTCTTTCTACCTCACTGAGAAAGCCTACTGTTTTTTTTTTTTTTGGTAAGGCAATTGGGGTTAAGTGACTTGCCCAGAGTTACACAGCTAGTAAGTGTTATGTGTCTGAGGCTGGATTTGAACTCAGATCCTCCTTACTCCAGGACCAGTGCTCTATCCACTGTACCACCTAACTGCTCCTGTTTGTTTTTTTTAAAGAAATTGTTAGATTGGATTTCCAGTATAGTCAATACTTTGCAGCTTCATGGGATTAATCAGGACAGTCACAGGAATGATATTAGCAACTCACATTTGTATAAGGAACTATATGAGCACATATAAATTATTTTCTCTGACCTTCACAACAACTGTAGGAAGTTGAAAGTATTAACATCCCATTTTATGGATGAAGAAAATGAGACTCAGAAAAGTTCAGACATTTGCCTAGCAAATGGTGGAGATAGGACGTTCGTTAACTGAGGTCTGTGTACTCCAAGCACAACGTTCTGCGTATGTCACCATCTGGAGAAACTATTGGCGTTCAGTCTTGTTAGGTGATACAGAATAGACATGACATTAAACAAAAATCTTTTTCGTTAGCTTTCTACTAAAACAGCATTTTTTTTCTAAAATTCTAAAAAACAGCACTCTTAGGCCTGAGGACAATGGTCAATACACTTTCCAAAAGCATTTCCTGCCCTTTGGGGCAGCTTCTCCAAGAGTTACTTCTCCATGGCTTCAGACAGTTGGCCAACAAGCATTTATTAAGCACCTACTAAGGGATTCCTCTCTTGACCTGGATATTGCCTGTGGACCTGAGCTACCCAACTCAGCTCCATTCTCCAAGGCCACCCACTGAAGCATCCACCCAGTTCCCAGAGTATTTGTTAATGTGTGGCTGCCGGAAAATAGGATCAATGGCTGTGGAAGCAATATGGCAAATGACTCAGGGATGTTTTTGGGGAAATAATAATCTACCACACCACCTAGCTGACTTTTTTTTCCCCTTGCTTAGGCAAGTCACTTTGCCTAAGCAAAAAAAAAAAAAAAGTCAGCTAATAAGTATCAGAGGCTAGATTTGAACTCAGGTCCTCCTGGCTCCAAGGTGAGAGCTCCATCCACTACTCCACCTAGCTTATTCTTCCTAATCCAACCCTATTAAGTAAATATTAAGTTCAGAGGCAAGCATGTTCCCTCTGGCCTTGTCCATAAACAGGAGCCTCTTTATAGTGGAAGAAGGATAACTGTGACAGACTCTTGGGAGGTGGTCTGCAGAAATAAAGGAAAGGCTGTGGAAGGCCAATGTAGTAGTGAAGAAGAGGGCCAGAGTTAGGAGATGCATCCAAAATCCAGAAACAGAGCGCTTTGGGCGCACTCAGATGCAAAGACGAAGAAATGACAGGTGTGGTCAAGGGAGAAGGCAAATGTCCAAGGCCGAAGTGACCCCAAATGAGATGGGGCTTATCCAAAAGGGCACACTTTCCAGGTTGCCATTTTTTAATGCCTCAGTGTTTGGACTCGCCTTATCTCCTCTAAGCTTCACCTGGGTTTTGGCTGTTCAGTCTTCCTGTGGGTAGTGCTCTTGTCCTAGTGACAGCTGCATTTGGGTGGTGGTGGACACAGAACACGTTAACTGTAGTGTGAAGTGTAGGGATGCCTCAAGAATCCCCAAAAGGATCATTTTGTCACTCCATAATATAATATGATAATTAGCAAAATATAATATAATAATTAGTATAGCATAATAATTAACATCCTTCTTGATAGCTCAGTCATCAAGAAAAGGTTATTTTTTTAAAAAAGCAGAAAGCAAAGCATGCCATAGGACTTAGATTTTCATTCAAGAATGGTTAAAGGAAAAAGAAGTTACATGTAAAATTCAGTTATGCAGACTATTTTTCTTTTTTAAAAATGTTTTATTGATGACTCTTTTTGGAACACTTTATTTCTCAATGGGATGTTATAGCCCCTGGAATTGGTCTCTAGTAAAGCTACTGCTTTCAAATGCATTTGATCAGTTGCGTGTAAATGTGATAGTTTAAAGCAGAATTCCCCAGTAGACAAATGAAGGGCCCTCTTTGGTAAAACTTGTCTTAAGCCATGATTGATTTCCTAAACTGGACAGGCAACATCAATTGTCCATACTCAGAACATGTAATGATGGTAGACATCTCTTTTGGGCTCTGTGTACCATAGTGTATTACCCTCTGTCTGAAGGGCGAATCTGTAAAGCTTGTTCTTATATAAATAATTAATGTCATTTAAAAAAATTTGACCTGTGGCTTCATTGATATAGGGAAATCCTGGAGAGGAGATGTTCTTTATCAGCAACTGATTTTTAAAAATATTTTTTTCCAGGGGGCAGTGAGGTGGCGCAGTGGGTACAGCACCAGCCCTAGAGTCAGGAGGACCTGAGTTCAAATGTGATCTCAGGCACATAACACTTACCAGCTGTGTGCCCCTGGGCAAGTCACTTAACCCCATTGCCTAGCCAAAAATCAAAACAAAAATATTTTTTCCAATTACATTTAAAATGTTTAACATTAATTTTTTTTTAAATTTTAAGTTCCAAATTCTCTCCTTTCCTCCCTCCCCTCCCTCCTTCCTGAGAAGGCAAGCAATTTGATAGAGATTATATGAGTGCAGTCATGTAAAACATTTCCATATTAGTCATGTTGTGAAAGAAAGCACAGATTAAAATACAACAAAACAAAACTCAAGAAAGATAAAATTAAAAAAGTATGCTTTGATCTGCATTCAGACTCCATCAATTCTTTCTCTGGAGGTGGATAGCATTTTTCATCATGAGTCCTTAGGAATTTTCTTACATCATTGTATTGCTGAGAACCACTAAATCATTTGTGGTGGATCATTGCACAATATTGCAATTACTGTATACAGTCTTATCCTGGTTCTGCTCACTTCATTTTGCATCAGTTCATATATGTCTTCCCAGAGCAACTGACTTTCAACTTACATGTTAGAGCATTGCCTGAGTCACTGAGAGATGAAGTGACTTGCAATCAGCATATGTCTTAAACCTAGGACATCCTGACTCTGAGGACGGTTTTCCATCCATCATGAGAAGTTGTCTCTCAACTGATCACAGCTATGCTACTTAAATATTTATCTTCCCAAAGCAAAGAGGCTGAGTTCAAATCCTATCACTGCTACTTATCACATGTATAACTTTGGGCAAATCACTTAGGATCCTAAGAAAACAGATTGAAAGATTGATGAGAATATGATTTTCTAATTTTACGGATGAGAAAACTGAGGCCCAAATGGAATAAATGACTTGCCCAAGGTCATACAGGTAATACGCAGCATAGCCAAGATTTCCAATGATCTTTCCACTGGAACAGATTACTTCAGCTAGGATCTCCCTGGGTCTCAGTTTCCTTATCTGTAAAATGGGTACATTGAATTAAATTATCTCTAAGGTCCTTTCCAATTATAAACCTATGATCCAATTTTGTCGTGTATTCCCAGATTCCTCTTTTTAATCCAGACAGCCCTCTTTTGCCTTTGGCTCATAGAATTGTACCATGAGGTACAGAGGATTATAAAGGTTCTCATGGGGCCATCCCGTCCAGGGCCACACTGGACAGGATCTCTTTTCAATAGTAAAATATAAATTATAGTTTAACCTCCTTGTAGCCTAGGGGAAATTACTCCTGTCTTCTATCATTCACATACTCATATTAATAGGTATAGTCACAGTATACTAGCACACCCTATAGAAGCAGAATTTGCCATTTTGGAATTTATACCTAGTTATTGAGCAAACTGGAAACCATTATTTAGACAAAGACAGGAGTGGCTTCTAGGAATGTTATTTTCTCATGGCCATTACTTCTGTCTCTCCTGCCCACTCAATCTGTCAGCTACCCCAGGAAGAGTTATGGGGTTTTGTGGGGGAAGGTTTTTAGGATAATGATGATGACACATGTAAGGATGTTACTTATGAACACTGTTTTCCTATTTAGGAAGTTCTCCCTTGTTTTTTTTTTCTTTTTTCTTCTGACTCAATGCTTTCAGTGCCAGTTCAATCAAGGTCATCCTTTCTGCCATCCTCAGGGGGCCTGATGCCTTTGGCTCATCCTCCATCTTTTCACAGTAGAGATGGCTATGTGCCATCCTGTAGGAGCCATGAGAGGGAGGGGAGGGTGGGGGGAAGACAAGTTCCATACTTCTGCTGTATGAAATCATATTCTGGTGAGGACTACAGACTGGCCGGAGAATAATAATAACAACAAGGAAGTGTGACAGAGAGAATTGCTTTTGTGTGCACTTCCATGGTGTGATTATGGACCTCTGTGTTAGTTTCTCTTAATGACTGTTTCCTAATGTGTCTTCCTGGGCGGCCTCAACATAGAATCACTCTGTCCTGGAAAAAACAGCTAAGTAGTGAAATCAGCAAATTGAAAGATTAGAACGACAATGAATATTATTCTCCAAAGCAAGGGAGAAAGGGAGTCTCACTGGAGGCACTGAGATAATATTTCAGACCAGCTTCTTCCAGAGATCAATATCCCCTTAACTGACCTGCCACAGGTGACAGAGCTTGTTAACAGGATGTGGATGCTTTAGGAGCTGAAATTTTTTTCCTCCGTTTTCTTTGTTCTCTCTACAAACCTTGGTTTTATGAGGTTGTTGTTGTTTTTTTTTTCTTTCTCATTTGCTCCCAAGCAGCAGGGAACAGACGAATGTATTAATCTATTTCTGTTCTGGGGAACATGTACGTCGCAGGCATGAAAACTTGCCCCAAATATCAGCTGTCCAAGCAGATTTGATGAAGGTGACAGTTGGCTAGGAAAGAGAGCTAGCAAGGTCTCTACCAGTTACCCATGGAGATGAAGCTCACACGTTTAATTTAATATTGATTTCAATTTCAGGGGAAAGAAATTGCCCTTGCAGCAGGATATGTATTCTTTTACAGGGATCCTTGTTGGATTTTTTTTTTTTATTTTGACCAGGCTACCTCCTCCTCCTCGCCCTCTGCTTTTCCCTTCCCCACTCTTTTACACAGAGGACATTTTGAAGAGCTTT